CAATGCGTCCAGTCACGCGTTCTGACCTATTCTTCTGTGCCCCCGGTGATCGGCTAGTCCGGACATCTGCCAGTGGCTGGATGATGAAGAGGCAAGCTGACCAATACGGATGAAGGAAAGGACTGCTCATCGCTTACTAGAAAGTGAGAACTCATTCTGTGCCAACGACAGAGATTTTAACCATGTGAAAATTAGTGTGTACGTCACCCGCCTCTGCTAGGTGCAACTGCTAGATCATGACTAATAGAGTTTAAAGGTGCCAGGTTCTGAGGAATGCTTAGTTCATTAACACAAATCTGTCTTTTAAAGCGCCAGTCAGACGAAAGCTCCTCTTCTCTGCCAGATCAAGCATCACCGAGAATCGCATTTGAGCGGATTCTAGCCATCGTCGAGAGCATAGCAGTCCTCGCGGCATCTGATCAGACGCAGGGTACTGATGATGCACACGTACAGAAGAGAATTGCACAAAGCGCAACCGTTTTATCTGTAGCGACTGAACCGCTAGATAGGGAAAGTGAGACGCACTTGAAAATCAAGCCGTTAGTCACAACGTAGAGGAGACAGTTGTATGAATAGTGATGCGGTAGGTCACAGGAACCGCCTGGTTCTGAAGATCGCCTTATTTCGGCACCTCAGGAGACGCAGAGTTACCTAGAACGGATATGATGGCTCCAGTCGGCGCCAATTCGATTGCACAGAGAAAGTAGTTTTTACCAGTTTGTGAGTCTTTGGGCAGCAAAACGTCTTTGTGGATGTACAAGGTTGTGTACCTATAATTCAAAAAACGATCTAGACTGACATATTAATATATTGCCTTTCGCTTTTCATTATGCATTAAATGTCATCTACAGCAAATGCCTCGAACGATTTCGAGGAATTTTTTTAGCACTCGTATTTAAAAACGCATTCTTTCAGCGACTTGACCGCTGCCGTGTTCACACTGAAATTCAATAGTAGATGTCAATTTTGATCTAAACAAGGAAATACCTGCTGCTTCCAGAATGCCATAACCCAGTTTCTAAATCAGCTGTCTGATGCACTGGCAAGCAGCCACTGTTTACTAAATTTAGAGAACCATCGAAAGTGAGCTTCATTGCCGTCCGTGGTTCCCCACCCTAGTTCCCTTTTACTCCCCCCCACCCCAAAGTTTGTCTCTCGTCGTAACACGAGCGTGATTATAGACCTAACAATGGTAGAGGGCGCTCACCGATCGTTTCTTACGGAACTCACTCGTTCCGTTGTGCCTTAAGGGCTTTCTCTCGTGTTCAACCAGAAGCCGCACAGCGGCACATAATATAGGCAGAACTGTATTACCGACAAGGACAAGGGAGACTGGCATGGCCATTTCTGGCCTATTAGCCGTCGTCAGCCAGCCATACCCAAGCCCGAAGTGTGGAACATCCGAGCCTCGAACTCGCGACCTGTTAGTTAGAAGATCGCGCCTCAAACCACTGGGCCACGAACCCGTTGCCCTATCGGATTTGATCGGGAATATACAATGGTAGGTGGCGTTCACGGATCGTTTCTTACGACACTCACTCGTTCCGTTGTGCCTTACGGGCTCTCTCTCTCTCTCTGTCTATCGAACCCCGGGTTTTTCACACGGAATTGTGTATGACTGGTTGATGACGGCTAATAAGACAGAAATGGCCACTCCAGTCTCCCTTGTCTTTGTCGGTGATAACACAGACCTAGCAATGTCTGCTGGAACAGATATTCAAGTATGGTTAAATCATTCCGTGGCATCCCGCTGCGTGGACGGGAGCTATACCTCAAGGCGACTGTCACGGCTGATACTCCCACAGGCCCAAGCTGTGAAACCATAGTTCTCAATAAGGGTTATGGCTGTCGTTCGTTTTCCTCCCCCTTCTCAAGGATGGTTTCCGCATAATTCAGCTCCGACTTTTCGGTCGCAGTTCTGGTACGGCACGGCATGCTTGGTGCTCATACTCCTTGTGAAAGATCGGCTAGCGTAATCTCACATGGCCTAGGGAAACCACTGACTACAGTAGTTCTTAGTCCAAAATTGAAGCCATCCTCAAATTCTGTCGGAATTTATTGGAATGGTCATCTTAATTAGTCGAAGTATATTAATGGAGCATTTACGATCTGTTTCATATTCTTTGAGTGTGATTAAATGAATTACTAGTATTCAATAAATTCAGAAGATCATTTGGAGAGCATACATGTGCTTTCGATAACTTCTCATCGGGTCTCTACGCTTATATGGGAACGAGGTACAGTAGATGTGCTAACTCATGAAATGTCAACCAAAATTTCGAAATGCGTTCTCGTTTCGAAAAGATTAATTAAGTAGTGTTGTAAAATTAATCATGATGCAGCATAAATCTATAATGATCCAGCTACCTCAGGGTGTCGGCTTTCGAAAGAACTTATTTTCGGCTGCATGAAAGATCCATACTCTACAAAAAATGACTACTTAAGTTGCATGGAATTTTCTCATTGATTTTCGATGCCCTTGAAAATTCAATTATATTTCATGGAAAACATAAATAAAAATATTCAATCTTTTACTCATTCGGTAGAAAATCACGTCTTCTTCCAATTTAATACTCAAAAGAAGAGTATAATTCGGTTTTAAAAAAGTTTCTAATTGTGAGATTTTTTAATACCGTTAAATGGCCGTTCATGAAACGTCATGTATCTGCATTTACGAATGTGGCTTGTAAAGTTAACAATATTGCTCAAATCCACTGCTTAATTTTATGAACTTCATATGGTCTCCTCTTAACACCGTAGAGAAATGCATGGTTTTCCATACACGGAAAATATACAGCTTGTAGTTTTGAAACCCTGAATGCAAGTGTAAAGCAGGTCGGGTTGAAAATTATTCGGGAATTAGGAAAGTTTTTTAAAACCGAATTATGCTCTTCTTTTGAGTGTGAATTTGGAAGAAGACGTGATTTTCTACCGAATAAGTAAAAGAATGAATATTTTTATGCATGTTTTCCATGAAATATAATTGAATTTTCAAGGGCATCGAAAATCAATGAGAAAAGTGCCTGCAAATTAAGTAGTCATTTTTGTAGAGTACAGATCTTGCATGCATCCGAAAATAAGTTATTTCGAAAGCCGACACCCTGAGGTAACTGGATCATTATAGATTTATGCTGCGTCATGGTCAGTTTTACAACACTACTTAATTAATCTTTTCGAAACGAGAACGCATTTCGAAATTTTGGTTGACATTTCATGAGTTAGCACATCTACTGTACATAGGAATCATAGCCCATTTGGGCGGTGGACAGGGGCAGCATCCTGCAACATGCTCGTGTCCATTCGACGTTGATGAATGTCGATGTAACTGAAGACAGTTTTTGCAATGTCGATGAACACATTGCTATTTATCGTCTCCGTTGTTGAACGCCGGACCGGTCGCTCTCCGAATTCGATGGCTATCCAAACCATCATGCGTCGAGAGTTCTTGAAAATTGGTGTCGATATTGTGTGCTCTGGTGAGAAGTTCTTCCAACATATGACCACCTGAGCCGACTTCAGTGGCTTGTCTTAAAATAAGACCTCATCACAAAAGAAAATGCGTTTTGAAAAGGAAAGTCTTTAATTAATACATTTTCGAGCAAACGAAAAACGGTCTCTGATAGGTTTTCGACCACACAAAATATATGCCGTTCCACCAAATCAAATACTGATATCGACATTTCATCTACAGTCTACAGTCGTCTACAGTATATACGTCAGTCTGCTCATGCTTATTTCCGATTTTCTTCCCGTGCGCACTCGTACCTAGAATTTTAGAAGAAGAGGACACAGTGAACTTATGCTGTAGCTACTCTTCTTCGACATCATTAACTGACTACTTGCTCGTCGACGGACTGGGCCATAAGCACTTAGCCTGAAGGCAAATGGAAATCTCGTTGATCGTCACCATCATACGTACTTGTGCATCCCTGCATCAAAAATGGGCAGCCAGCTTGCCCAGCGAGTCGTCGAGACCGCTCGAATTACTCCGCCGTGTCAGCATCTGGGGTTGAGACATCACAAACTGGTGATAGCGGGTAAATCAACCAGTTTAATTCTTGTGTCTACAACGTGCAGCGCGCATTATTTTTTTATGACGTATCAGAGCTGGGCGGTGCTGACCAGTCAGAATTTTTCTCTGGGAAATTCGCTAAGGAATATCTTAAAGATACCGTCCTCTTCTTCACGCAGGATTAAGGCACAAGTCAAAAAGTGGAAACTCCCTTTTTGAATTCTAATCATCGCATATTTTAAAGGGTTAGATGAAAAAATGAATATTTTGTTAATATATTGACTGCATTACGCCCTGGTTTACTAGTTTCAATTACTTCAGTTAAAGCAAAGCAGTAGTCGTTAGACTTATACGATCCTAAACAGCTATGTTTTCGGAAGCAAAGTGCCACAATTGAGTGGGGTCACTCAATAAGTGTCTTCAGCAATATTGTGTCTCTTTGACTTCTCACACAAATATAATTTGTGAAATAACTTTTCGTTCCTATCTGCACCGTCTCTGAGAAAAAAGACAAAACCTCAAGAAATTACTAAACCTGCCTGCATACTTATACTGGTTTTATAAGTGCGTGGCCTTCGTTTTTTCTTAGTAATCCGCAACAGTAAGATATAGTCCCAAACAAAATCACCAAAGCATATGAACATATTCGTGAAAAATGAGTCAACTCAATTCTTTTAGCTCTTTAACCGCATCCTACCCCTGCCAACGGATTCTGTTGACAGGGGGTTTTTTCGTGCGTCGGTGCTCCTGCCAGTACTCGAAAAGTGCCTGTTCCCCGTGTGTGCGCCATTCACTCATTCGTCAGCAGAACGGCTCAAGCCATTCGTTCAACAAGCGATGAAGAGACGAGCCTCGTATTTTGCTGCTTCTGTGAGTTCTGAGTCAAGGTTGTGGTTTCTTTGGTTGAGACGGGATCCCGCGATATAGGTATAAATATGGAGGCAAAATCTTGACTGTTAGACAGACGGTTTTCTTGCAGCCAGATAATATGCGTTTTCTAGTCCTTCTTGCTGGAGCACTTTTTCTCTTGACCCTATCGACCGAAAGGGGCGATGCCTTTGTAAAGTTTCCCCCGAAGAATACCAAGGATTTTAAAGGACCGGGGGGTCTTACGAAAGATATACGAAAAGAAGGATCTGGGGTGCCCCCGAGCGTAGACGATAACGAAGGCAACGCGGACCAGGAAGACGAAGGAGCCAGTAATGGAGAAGAGCCTCAGGAAGAAGAGCATGAGGAGGGAGAAGGCGAGGAGGCTCAAGAGGAAGAACCTGAAGAGGGTGAAGACGAAGAAAATAATGAATCAGAGAGCGAAGAGCGGGAGGAGGATGAGAAACCAAAAGTAGGAGAACAGGAAGAAGAACAAGAAGAAGAAGAAGAGGAGGAGGACGAGCAAGAAAAGGGAGAGTCCGAAGGGGAAGAGGGTGAAGAATCTGGAGACGAAGGAGAAAGTAAAGAAAATCCTAAGTCCAATGAAGAGGAAGAAGGTGAAGAGTCTGAAGAAGATGAAGAAGTTCAAAAGCCTGTCGAAGCGCAAGCCCAGAATGAGGTGGAGGAAGGTGAGGAGAAAGAGGAAGAAGGGTCTGGAGAGGCAGAAGATGGAAGTGGTGACGAGGAAGATAATAATCAGGAAGAAGAGGAGGACGAAGGAAAGGGGGATGAGGAGGGAGAGGAGGAAGAAAAAGATGAGGAGGAGGGGCATGAGAATCACGAGGAAGAAGATGCTGGAGAAGGGGAAGAGGAGCCTGTGGAGGAGGAGGAAGAGGAGAGGAATGACCACGAGGTCGCGGAGGGCGAGTCTGATGAGAAAGAGGAAGAAGCTGAACATGGAGTTGTAGAGTCTCATGAGGAGGAAGCAAATGAGGAGTCTGAAAAAAAGGTAGAAGGGGAGGCGTCGGGGGAGGAGCCTGAAGGAGCAGGAGAAGGTGAGGGGTCCGAGGACGAAGAAGAGGAAGATGATGACGATGATAATGATGATGATAATGAGGAAGAGGAAAATATAGAAGAGGAGGGAGAGCAAGAGAGGGAGCCTAAAGAAGAGGAGACCGAAGAAGAAGAAGAAGAAGAACAAGAAGAAGAAGATGGGGAAGAGGAAGATGAAGGAGAAGAGGAGAAAGAGGAGAAAAAAGGGCAGGAAGAGCATGAGGGAGAGCACGAGGAGAAGCCTGAAGAAGAGAATGAGGGCGAAGAGCATAAAGGAGAGGGAGAAGAAGAAGAAGAAGAAGAAGAAGAAGAAGAAGGGGAAGAGGTAGCGGAAGGAGAAGGAGAGAAAGAGGAGAAAGAAGAGCCGGAAGAGCATGAGGGAGAGCACGAGGAGAAGTCTGAAGAAGAGCATAAAGGAGAGGAAGAAGAAGAAGAGGAAGAAGGAGGAGAAGGAGAAGAGGAAGGGGAAGAGGTAGAGGAAGAAGAAGGAGAGGAAGAGGAGAAAGAAGGGCAGGAAGAGCATGAGGAAGAGCACGAGGAGGAGAAGCCTGAAGAAGCGAATGAGGGCGAAGAGCATAAAGGAGAGGAAGAAGAAGAAGAAGAAGAAGAAGAAGAAGAAGAAGAAAAGGAAGAAGAAGGAGGAGAAGAAGAAGAGGAAGGGGAAGAGGTAGAGGAAGGAGAAGGAGAGGAAGAGGAGAAAGAAGAGCAGGAGGAGCATGAGGAAGAGCACGAGGAGAAGCCTGAAGAAGAAAATGAGGGCAAAGAATCTGAAGAAGAGGAAGAGGAAGATGAAGAGGAGGAAAATAAAGAAGAGAAGGAGGAGCATGAGAATGAGCCTGGGGAAGAAGGACATGACGAAGAGGAAGAAGACGAAGAGCCCGAGGGAGAAGAAGAAGAAGAAGAAGAAGAAGAAGAAGAAGAAAGGGAGGAGAAGGAGGAAGGAGAAGGGGAGGAAGAAGAGCAGGAAGGGCATGAGACAGAGCACGAGGATAAGCCTGAAAATGAGGATGAGGGCGAAGGGCCTGAAGGAGAGAAAGAAGAAGAGAAGCCTGAAGAAGAAAATGAGGGCGAAGAATCTGAAGAAGAGGGAGAGGAAGAAGGAGAGGAGGAAAATAAAGAAGGGGAGGAGGAGCATGAGAATGAGCCTGAGGAAGAGGGAAATGAAGAAGAGAGAGAAGACGAAGAGCCTGAGGAAGAAGAAGAAGAGGAAGGAAATAAGGAGGAAGGAGAAGGAGAGGAAGAAGAGGAGGTGGAGGAAGGGCAAGAAGGGCATAAGGGAGAACCTGAGGAAGGGAAGCCTGAAAAAGATAATGAAAGCGAAAAGTCTGATGAAGAGGAAGGAGAAGCCAATGAGGAAGAAGAGAATGCATAAAAAGAGTCCGGAACAGGGAACACTGTAAATCAAAGTAAATGAAGGATTGGACATGTTTCCTCACTGCTGACAGTAGAATGTTTTTTTGGTATAATTGCCATGTTTTGGTTTTTGCTCATTTTTCAACATTTCGCAAATATTTACACTGCGGTACAAAATTTCATTCCGTTTTGTAAAGTTCTACTGTACCATTATTTGTTTTACCTACTAATGCAATTGCCCGTCAGCAGCTGTAAGCCTAACCCTTATTTCTTAAAAAAAACTAGTTTATCTTCAGCCTGTGGTCAACAGTTCCTGTCTTCTATGCCCAGATGGGAAAACAGAATTGCTTAGGACGTACGGGCAAGTTCGTAGAGCCTAAGATGCACGGATTAGCCACTCTGCTCCATGAGTGTCCTCGATGCCAGAAGAGTAGGTATGACGTAATGGTGAATCCCACTATAATGCGGAGCCCTGCGAGCTTTTAAAGGCGCTTTCTTTCCTCACTCGACAGTCCCTCGAGATAGTTAAGTTGGCAAACTTGATGTCTACGCGTGCCTTCCACGTGCTAACCCTTAAGTAATAGGCTCTCTGAAAGCCGCAAAAAAGGCCCCTGCAACCTGGTCATTTTGCAGGAGGAGGTTCAAATGATCCAATAAGTTAGTAATCATTTAAAACAAGACTGTTATTCCGCTGAGGGGCGAAAATGGGCCCTGAATATGCATTTCGTGTGTACATGCAGCTCGGGGTCGCTGAGAGAACCGTAGTTAGGTGACTGAAGAGGAGTTTTGGTGCCAGTGGCTTGTGTAACACTGCTTAGATAGCGAATACCATAGTATTCCGTCTTCTAAATACTCCTTTATGGAAATCTCCACATGTAACCCTGCTTGATACCAAATTTTCCTAGCCGGCGCAGCCCATCCTATTATAAGAGTCAAAATCAAATTTAAATCCCGATTTTAGGGATTTTATCTTCATGCACTACCACTATAAAAAATATAGAAATAAATTTATTATCGCCCACCCAAAGACAACTAAATTCCTTTAGCAGTATAAGCCGTCTAATCTCGATCTCAAGATGAGGCTCAGTCACAGTTCCGCATCCGAGAAAATGTCGTGAGTAAATCATTTTTAATGCACCTGAATAACTTTATTGATGCAGCCTCTTAACTTACTTCGCCCTTCTGCAATCACCTCATGGCATCTTCAATAGTTTCAAGACCTCTTGCCACCACTGTTTGCTTGAGACTCATTTGAATGTCCAAATGGATGACAGGAGTAGCCCCCGGTGTATCAAAAATAATAAAGTCATTTGACGAAGTCTTCAGACCTTAAAGGGCTCGTGCTTTTTGTTTGTATAATAATTGCGTCGACGCAAAATAAATTTACCACAGATGTCGATGCTTTTGCCGTTTTATTCTGGTAGTTGCATCATCGTTTACCCTAATTTTGTTGAAATCCCCGTTTGGGACAACCTAACCCAATTTTAATTAACTACCGGAGTTTGGTTGTCCGCGTTAAAATTACCAAGTCGTTATTGCGATGAACTTTGGCAGTCTGAGTGGTGATACCAAGCCTGACACACTGCCCGTCATAGAAGAACTTTATTCCATAAAAGCTATGCAAATTAACTTGACGAGGTTGCCCTCTTTTGCTCTTCTCAGAGATGCTATAGAAAATGTACAATGTTTTGCGGTACAATGTTTTCTTTTTTCTGACTTCTTGTATTAAGGCATCATGAATAATTCTCGAACACAAACCAAATTAGTGTAAGTTTTGGGGTAAACCTGTCTCCAAAAGTCGTACTATAAGGTGGACTCGTCAACAGGGGTAAAGAAATGAAGATTATTTGTATTTTGAACACAAGTTTACGAATTCCAGACGACCAATCAACTCTTCATCTGTAGGTCTAATATCCTGACCATCTTCGAAATTTCTCAGCCAGTGTCGTCATCGGACAAAGTCTTGTTAGTGAAGCGGCTGCAGGCGGTTTCGCATCTTAATTAAAGCTAAATGGATTCATGTTGAAACGTGCAGAATTTATAAAAATCCAACCACTATTTTCCGTCCCGACTCGTTCTTCCATCGATCGATTTAAGTCAGGATTTAGTTTTAGATTTATCCCACTCTGGGCATTTCCAAAAAACAAGTCTAAGATGACAAGGCACTTGTAACTCCGGCGTCGTGGGAATCATCTGCTGAAAATGCGCGAATCATGCCCAACTAGGTTAATGTTGAACGATCTAGCTGGCCGTTAAAACCGCCCGTAGGGCCGCATATTCCCAGACTATATGGACTGCTAAGATTGCACAAACTAGGGGTACGATTACGACCGATCATGACAGATGAGTTTCCAAAATCCTAAACGGTAGGGTGTCACCAGACCGGTGTGTTTTCATCGTTATATGTCCGTCCCGGTAGGTTTAAGCATGTCGAAATTAAACGCAATTACAGTACCTCTTTGTAGCACAAGCCACTAATGTTCTCTTAAAGGAGAGCCTGAGTGCCTTTTCTGAGTTTCCAACAGCTGCGAAACACTCACGCAGCCTCCATTATCTAGCCCCTTCGAAAAACTTATTTCGTCACGGAATCGTTCGCTCTTTGACCTCCATATCTGGACTCATCCAGCAACCCTCCTACCCCGGAATCGTGGAGCATCAGTTTAAATAACTTCGACCCGTGGGAAAGAACCATGTAAATCCCTCCCTAGCCCAATCTAAACAGGTTTGTTCATGATTTTGATTCGACCACGACAACAAAAGCCGCATACTTGTCCTCAAAAAATGTTTCTTTAAAATATTTTTCCGTCTTAAGTAAAGAAGTTTGAAGTCAACCTTCTTTTTACGATGTAGAAAGTACTGTTTGCGGATTGCGATGCATACACCTCATTAGCCTCTCGTCAGTCCGTACCGTTAGCATCGTTGCATAAATGCCATCTAAAATCTGTCAATGATTATCTGTTTCAACGTATTCTTCCAGAAATCTTAAGAACAATAGTTGTGAATTAACCCAGATATTTGGTTACCTTTCTTCCACATACTTATTTCCGGCCATGTTATACACTGTCTCCGTCGGACATCTTGATGACTTCGAATAAATAGTTGAGCAGGCCAGTGAGTAAGACATCGATAATTTGGTCGGAACGGATCATTCAGCGCACCTAATTAGTTATCTTGGACGCGACGTGTCCACTAGCACAGTAACCAATGTCAAGAAATGTTAACCCAAATGCTGGAATGGGTTTTCGATAAGGAAGGATTACTTTAGTGGGGTTGACTTATTGCTCATCTTGCGGCATAATCCAATGACAGAGCAGGCACAACAGAATGATGGCTTTCAAAGACACTTCATTATGGTCGCCTGAAAGAACTGCACTCGATAAAAGTGGATACACGTGTAGCTTTTTATTTTTCCATTGATTGTCGATGTTCTTATAGGTTTAAAAACATTCTATTGAACATATTCTCAAAAAAGGTTTTTCCTTCATCTATTTGGTCAAAAACCAAGGCTTCTTCCATGCTTCTACATGGAAAAAGGGTATATTATGTTTTTCCAATTAAGGGATTTCTTATAAGCATGCAAGGTCCAATCAAGTAGCATCGCGGCGGTGCGTTTATTGAGGCACATTAGAAAGCATACGATATGGCCCATATTAATTGTAAACATTTTGTGGACCCTGTCAGGAACTTTCCTATTAGCAAAGAGGAATTATGATCTCCTCAGAAGAACGTGTACAGCATGCACACTAAAAACAAATGGACGGCAGGTCGGGATCGGAATTATTCACGGATTAAAAAAGCATTCTGAGCCAACAGACACCCTCTGTTCGTGTATGGGGTTATCAGAAGGCGTACGTTTCTATCAACTGAACGTAATAAGGAATATCTTTGTTCGTTATTTCTAGGAAAAATGCTTGAATATATAAGGACATCGAAAACCAACAGAAAAACTACGCACTACATTAATGTTATTTTTTCCGAGTGCGATTCTTACAGGCGGCCAAAATGTGTATTCGAAAGCTCGTATAAAGTACCGTGGGATTATGCCGCAAAACAAACGGTATGACAACCCTACTGAAATAATCCTTCCCAATAAAAAATGTATTTCAGAATTTAGATTCACATTTCACGAAACCGGCCACTGGCTATAATTTGGAGCATGTATTGACTCTAAGAGAAAACTAAGCGATACAAACAGACGAATCGGAGTGTACTCGTTGGTTGCAGTGAAATCATTCCGGTCACTTGGTAAAATGCAAATGGCATCTTGGTAGATTAAAACTTTTAAACTTCAAAATATAATCGTTATAATTTCCGTCCTCCTCAAATTCTTTTAAAATCCTGAAGTGTCTAGTTCGATATATGTCTACGACTTGGGAACGTATGTTTTCGCAGAAGAAGGATATTCTGTCGCTTTACTAAGGCGTTTATTAGTCCGAAATTTTGAAATGTTTCTCGAACTCCTAAGCAAATACCGTCAAAAATAAGGAGGCCTTGGAACTTGCCTCCTTACTTCGATCGCAGGCTTTCCGTCTTCGCATAAAGTATACTTTTAGTCGAGAGTTTTTTGAATAATTTCCATTCCCGCTTCATGTTTTTTGCCCTACTCTGGGTTTTCAAATAAAAATGCATGTTGTTTTCGGCAGCGCGCAAAAAACAAGCTGCAATACTAGTGTATGCAGAGAAAGACTACAGGCGAAGTCAAGGGAGACTGAGATGGCCATTTCTAGCTTATTGCATGTCGACAGCCAGCCTTGCCTAAAGCCAGGCTTCAAAATGTCTGGGGCTCAAGACCACGTCATTTCGGACATAAGTCCAGTCTCGCTCTCTCTCTCTCTCTCCCTACATATATCGATAGTCGCAGTTCGACAGTTTGCGGGGCTCTAAAGCGAGCCCCAACGCACAACGAATTGAGTATGCTCTGTAAGGCGATCCACGAATGCCCGCCTATCATAGATACAACATCACTCAGAAGAAGAAGAAGAAGAAGAAGAGGAGGAAAAAGAAGCAGAATAAACGATA